GAAGCTGGGGGTCTTCTAGAGTCTGAAGCTGGGACTGAGGAAGCAGGCCGGGTTTTCGGCCTTCTCCGCAGGACACAGCGTTTGCCTTGCTGTGGAGGAGACCCTGCCCTGGTGACACTGAGGACTTCAGTCCTGGGCTCCACAGACCTCCCTGCCAGCAGCCGCTCTGGCACTGCCACGTGTTTCCCTTGGGCTTTGCTCGGCTGAATCTTTGAAGAAAGCGATCTGATAAGCGTGGTGCCATTAGGGTGACTAATGGCGTTATTCCTCCTCCAAGGTGTGTTTGTGAAGCCAGGGAACCTGCTGGGAGAGAGCTGTGCACGCCACATCAATTTTTAAGGAAGGATTCAAGCCTTTAAGATGGGAAAGTGTTAGGGCTGGTGAAAGCGGAAGGGGTAGGGGCTTCTGCAGAGCTCCTCAGGGCAGATCATTTCTGTGTGGACCCGGGGAACCTCAGGGACACAGATGCAGGTAATGCGTCAGGCTCTGTATAGAAGTGGGGAGGCCGCAGGGTAAGCAGGGCGGCGTCTCCTGGCTTGCCACCGTCTGGATGCTGCGGGAGCAGGGGCCTGGGAGGGAGGGAGAGGCTTTAGTGAGCTCTGCCTGAGGACAAGAGGAAGACAGAGATCCCACAGGGTCACCCATGAAGTCGGGCTTTGGACCCAGTGACGTGTGGGCTGTGAGTGAAGGTCAGCAGTAGGATCCCCGAAACAGAAGGGTCCTGTGCTCGCTTACTGGAACTACGAGAAAGCAGAACCTACTGGAGGCTCTGAAATGTGCTCAGGGTGCAGGGAGATGAAGGGGGTGGCAGCAGCAACGGAGGAAGACAGGAGACTTTGAAGCCTATAACATGGAGGTGGCCCTGTGGTACTGACCCATAGGCCTGGAGGAGGAGGGGGGACACAATGAAACACTTCCTGGTCTCCGCACCCCCGCCTATTGATCCACATCTGCCTGCTGGCCTCTGAGTCTCCCATCTGCAAGAATTTTTGCTTTGTTTCTTCATAGAATTTTGGCAGAACCGGGGATTGAACTCAGGCCCTTGCTCTTGCCAGGCAAGCGCTTATTCCACTGAGCCATCACCCCTGCCCCACTTTGTTTGTTAAGGAGGAGAAGGTAAGAGTTGGGGGTCAGGATCCTGCTCTTTCAGGCTGGGTGTCTGACTCAGACAAGAGAATCTTTAGTTTGGCTCCTGTTGTGCGGGGCTATCACAGCCCCAGGGCTAAGGACTTGACCTGCATTAAACTTCCATCTCTGACCCTACATCCAAAACTAGGGGCAACTAGGCCTGGGGTTTGGGGTCCAGCTTGCCTTGGGGTGGTCAGAGTCATGCTATATGCATGGTGTATCTTCTTAGTTGTTAGTAATGTTATTAAAATCAGCAGCACTAATATTACCATGCCTATATCACATGGTGACAATGCCAGTGTCAAGCAAGTGCTTCTGGGTGTCTACCCCTGGGGAGGGACTTGACATAAGGGTGCAGTGTGGGTCCCGAGCCCATCCTCTGCCACTCTGTATTTGTTGATGTATGAATTTCCTTTAGAAGCTCCTGCCTCTGCGGGGAGGGGGGCCAACCATCCCAAGAGCAATTCCAACAAGTCCAGCTTAGTGAGTGAGTTTACTGGGGCTACTGCACCCCTGAAGTCACCAAGCCCCTGCGCTAGACTACTGGGCTTATAGGAGACCTATTAAAGCAGCAAAAGAGATCAAAAGCCAAAGAGGTTCTTGGGAAAAGTTGCACAGACCCCACACCCATGCCTGTCCTTATCAGGAAATTCCACTGTCTCAGCAAGTGCTGCAGGGTGTGCTTGTATGTGCGTGCGTGCATGCGCACACGCGCATGCGTGTGTGTGTGTGTGTGTGTGTGTGAGCCTGTATGGTTCTAGGGCTTGAATCCAGGGCCTCACCCATGCTAGGCAAGTCCTTTGCCACTGAGCTACGTCCCCGACACTAAGCGATTTTACCAACGTCATATGGAGACATTGATTAAAAGGATGTGCGAGACACTGGGTATGGCAGTGGTCAGGCTGGCCCACGCCCCTGGGTGAGGGCGATCACTTCCCTGACTGGCAGGCAGGCTAGGAAGAGCTGCTGGGGCCTGGAGGGGGTGGATGCTTGAGCAATAGGCAGCTTCCTAGGTTTCCATCCTAGAATCCTTTCTCTGTGGCATACACCTTTTTATCCCCCCCCCCCCGCCACTTCCTGTCATCTCTTTCCCATAAACCTAGGGAGTCCTCATTTGCAGATGAGAAAAAACCCAGGAGCACAAGGTAGGCTATCAGTTAATGAATGACAGAGTAAGTTTCTAATCCCAGGTTGGTCTCACTCCAGGATCAGAACTGCAAGCCGCAGCACCCTCACTGTGCTCAACCCCCAAGAGAATCTGAGTGTGTGGTCTGCAGCAGGCCTGGAGTCTGTACTCCAGCAAATGCCCTGGGGTATAGATCACAACCAGGAGAAATTTATGAAACTATTAGAACCCTTCTCTTCCTTTTTCAGGTCCAGAGTAGGGGTAGGAGTGGAAGTGGCAGTATTTTTTTTAAAAAGTATGACATTGTGTACGTTTATTCAGTCATCGGATCAATCAAAAGTTTGAGTCTTTGCTCCGTGCCCTGCCCTGCGCTGAGGCTGCAGACATAAAGGTGGGTGGGACCCGGTGTTTGCTCTTCCTTGGCTCTGGTGACCCGTCCCTGCTGGCTGGAATGTGCTCTGGAGGAGGAAGGGAGGCTGCATTTCCCTTGGACTGAGTGAGCTCTGGAAGGGACCCAGGTCCACTTCCAAAAGATGCTGTCTTGGGGGATTTTCTTGTAAGGCCTTTGCTCCCCCCCAGGGGGAGTGTGTGTAGTTTGTTTCAGTCTCAAAACTCAGCTCAGAACCACCGACTGTCAGTGCTAAGTGGACCTTGAGAAATAAGCTAGGCCTGGAGTAGTGGAACCTCGTGGAACAGCTAACCAAAGTGCTGGGAAGCTTTGAAGATCTCAAGATGCCAGAAGCCCACTCCCAAAGTTCCAAAGAGTCTGTCTGGAGGGGGCTCCAGGAACACGACCAGTTTGTGGAGCTTCGTAATGGTCCTGGCACACATTCTGCCAGAGTTCTCAGCCTGGGCTGCCGCTGAGGAGGCCCTGGGGGGTTAAAATGTGCTCCTACCCATGCCTTGTCCCTGGAGAGTCTGCTGTCACTCCACCAGGCAACAGGGGAGGATGCCTGGCCACAAGCTGTCCAAGCCTTGCAGGTGGCCTTGTCAAGGACTAGGGAGACGGCCCAGGGCAGCTATTCCTTGCCACCACCAGGGCTGTGAGACAAGATAGGAAGAAAAGAAGGGAGGAGACACACAGATTAAAAGATGACTTTGATGGAAAAGGATAAATTCCCACAGAATTCAATCCTCAGCTTCCTGAGGCGTATGTACCTTTTTTTTTTTCTATTTAGGACAGGGTCTACAGGGCCTACAAGGTCTCACTATGTAGATTGGACTCAGTGATTCTCCCATTTTCAGCCTTCCAAGTGCTGGGATTACAGATGTGTGCCACCACGCACAGTCTCAATCACTGTCTCAGTGTGCCCAGGGGCAGGGCCTGCACGGCATGCCAGGGATAGAACCCCTGGCCCCTGAGTCTGTGTAAGCCGGCTCTTTAGTCCGCTAAGCTATCTGGCTGGCCCTCATGTGTACCTTTTGATCTTAAATGTTATTCTTTTCTTTCTATCTAAAAGGTACCCTAGACATTGTCAAAGGAAAAGAAACTGCTCAAAAAGGAAAGAAGAACTAGAACCAGGGAAAGGAGAAGAGAAGGAAGGACTGCATTAGCTAAGATAATTCTACTACAAATTCCTGTTAGTTCATCAAAAGGAAAACAGTGTTTATATTGTTTGATCAATTTTACATGCCTAATCTTGTAATCTGAGAAACTACTTTGAAGATAACAGTATTTAATAGAATAATCATTATAATTTCCTATCATCTTGTTTTGAAATTCTGTATTGCTCTCATTGTCTTTAAAAAAAAATTAAAAGCACTCAGGAGGCTGAGGCAGGAAGAGCGTTGTGAGTTCAAGCTCAGCCTGGGCTGTATAGTGAGACCTTGTCTCAAAACACCACAAACCAAAACTAAACAAAAATAGTCACAGATTTAGTGTGATGTATATTATAAAGTCATATTATATGATCTAATAAACATTGTATGTATTCTAGAAACATGAGATATAAGTTAATATACTGTATAACATATAATATATATAGTCCTAGTGTGTGATGTTAGGATCCCTTTTTGCTTTATTAGTCTCTTTAGGTTTTTTTTTTTATTTTTTATTTGTGTGTGTGTGTGTGTGTGTGTGTGTGTGTGTGTGTGTGTCCAGCTCAGCCCACCAGGGGGCGAGGCTGGCTGGCATGTGGTGCTGGGGGATTGAACCGCGGTCCCTGTGTTTTGCCAAGCTTGTTCCAAGTAGGTGCTTTAGACCACTGAGCCATCTCTCCAGCCCCTCTCTTTAGGTTTTAAGTGATGTTTCAAAAAGATTTTGTTTCTCTGGTGGTTAAGAATTGAAGTGCTAGGGCCGGCGAGATAGCTCAGTGGACTAAGTGCCTGTGGACCAGGGTTTGATCTTTGGTATCACATGCCGCACCAGCCCGGTCCCCGGGCACACTGAGAGGGCCACGGGGTCTGTGCGTGGTGGCTCATGCCTGTGATCTCAGTGCTGGGGAGGCTGAACACAGGAGGAGCACTGTGAGTCCCAATTTCGTAGTGTGACCCTGCACAAAATACATTAAAGCAAAAACAAAAACAAAACAAAACAAAACTGAAGCGCTGAAAACCCTAACAAAGCTTTGGGTGTGCACGACCGGTATGGAGCCGGCGCCACCCTCCTGCTGCGGTTCACACATCTGCCCAGGGTGCCCCATCGCACGCAGGGGCAAGAACAGCTCTGCTCACCTGGCGGCCCCACGCCGCACGCACTCATGCACACTTCACCCACACCTGCCAAGTCACCAAAGCGATTTTATTATTGGAGTATAAAACATGTTCCCCTTTCCCATTTCTCCAAACCCCAAAAAGAAGTCGGCAGCGGGGGCCCAGGAGAGTGCCTGACAGTGTGCCTGGCCCTGGGACTAGCTGGCAGGCTCCAGCCCCCACCCTGGCCCCCTCCCTCGTCTCCTGGGCCCTGCAGCCTCAGCTGCCGCTCTCCCCTGTGGGCTGAGGCTGGGCAGTAGGGCAAAGGCTGTCTCTCCAGAGTCGATAGGTGAGAACGGCCATCACCGTGAGCCAGGCCAGGTAAGGCAGCAGCAGCAGGGCAGCCAGCTTGTTGATGGGGTGCCAGACCAGCACCATGCTCACCACCAGCCCATAGAGCAGGAGCAGGGGGAGCAGGGCCTGGACAGAGGGACGGGGTCAGCCTGCTGCCTGGGAGCCAAGCCCCCCCCCTTTCTGTAGGCCCTGCATCCAGTCACCCCAGGAGCCCTCAGGACTCTGCCCACCAATCATCTGCCATGCCTGATCTCAGCTGCCTGCTTCTGGCTGGTGGGCTCCCCTCTTCCCCCCACCCCAGCACTGAGCTCCCGGATGCTTACCAGCCCTGGGTTGACAGCCTCCAGGAAGAGCATCAGGACCACCCAGCTGATGAGCAGCTGGACAGTGTAGAGGCCAAGGGGCAGGGCCAGGCGCCACTTACAGTCCCCTCTGAGGTCCTTCCAGATCAGGTAGGAGGCATAGCTGGTGAGACAAGCGGCAGAAACCAGCGGAGGGTGTCCTGCAGCTCCTAGTGGAGGCTCTCTGGGGTCTGGGTGTAGGAAAGCTGGTGTGGGCCTGCTATGAGGGGCAGGGCAGGGGTAGGTGCAGGAGGGAGGGAGGAGGAGGAAGTAGAGGAAGGGGGCTGGCTGGGCTCCTTGGCAGACAGAGGGCTTCTATCTTGGGGACCCACTTGGAGAGGCAAGATGGGGTGTATCCCTTTGGTGGAGTTGGATACAGGGAAACTTGCTCCCTCTCCCGGGTGGTAGGGCCACGTGGGAGGAGCGCATGCTCACCCTATGAGAAAGTAGGTGGTGGTCCACACCAGCAGCACGGTCTTGTAGGGTGGGCACCAGGGCAAGGTCCTCAAGCCCTTGCACCAGTCGGTCACTGAATATCGAGTGAACAACCAGGGCAGGAGTCCCAGGTGAGGCAGGCCCACAAAAATGGGCCCTTGGGGCTGCATTGCCCTCCAGCGGGCAGAGCCTGCAGAACAGAGAACATGCCGAGGCCCTGGCTTCCCGGGGCCCTGCCCTGTGTTACCACGTCTGCCTCCACCTCTACTGTGCTGCTTTTCCTGGGCCAGCACCCCTCTTAGGAGGTTGTCGTCCAGTTCCCCCTGCCTCCAGCTACCTAGGGCTCAGCTCCAGCCCTGCTCCTCTGCATCACAACCCAGACTCTTTCCTAGCTCCCATACATTTCTTTTGACTGTGCTAAGCATCTGGTCCCAGAACCACACTGGTATCAGCAACTGCCGAGTTAAAGTCTTCCCGTCCTCTCCAGGTATCTCACCCCGGGGGTCGGGTCCAGGTGTCACCTTCTTTTCTACTTCCCACAGCAGGCTGCACCCAGGCAAGTATTGAGCAGGCCCTTGCCGAGGGCACTGTCTTACCTCAACTGAAGGTGCCGGACCTGGAAGGCCCATGTTCTGAAGGCAGGAGCCAGAGATTCCCTGGCCTTTTCTAGTCGCCAATGGGCTGGCCCATCTGCCCGGGCTTATCTCCCTAAACCAGACTGGCACACTCTCAGGCCCACCCAAGTCGATCTGCCCAAATCCACAACAGCTAACAGCCACTGTGGGCAACCCCTTCTCTGAAGCATGAGGAGTACACTCCCCCACACCTCTCTTTCTGGATGGTCAGGCTGTAAAACCAAGCAGCTAGATTTCTTGTGGCCAGATTCTTCAGGAAGCATCTATCTGGTCTTTATTTCTAAAGCTACTTTGCTCATGGCTCTTTATTTGCATATCATTTGCATGTGGGATACTGTACAGACCCTTCTCCAATCAAAGGGCTATCCCCTTGTATCATTCTCTTTTGCTCTTGGTATGGCCAAATGTGATGGGACATTGTGGTGAATGTGGCCATGAACGCTCTCCATGTAATCCTTCATAGTTCTTATTTCTGAAGAAATTCTAGAAGTCCTCTTTCTCGAGTGTTTTAGATGTGCTGTGGTGGCTGCCTCCATCTCCTGAACCTCTTCAGCATGTTCGCCTTGCATTGCCATTTTGACTTTGGGGAAGAGCCAGGAGGTGTGCGGCGTCAGATTGGTGAATCAGTTGGACGAGCATGCAGCGTCATAGCTTTACGAGGCTGCTTTCCCGGTGGTGGCCCTTGGCAGCGGCGCTGACTGCCACTCGGATCACACCTTGTAAAGACATGAAAGAGAAGTCCAGAAAGTGGCAAGGATGATGGAGTAAACATACCAGCAGGGAGGGGAGCATCGTTTGGGGGATGATGGCACTGTATCCTTTACTATAAATATCTCTTTATTTTTTTTTAAACAGTCACCATGTTTTTTTCTGTTGCCCTTTGTACTTCAACTTTCTCCCTAGGATGGGATTAAAGGTGAAAATTTTTGATTATTTTTAATGTTCTGGACTGATCGCTCCATCCATCCTTTCCTGCCGAGGGTCAAGGACCCCGTCCTGGTGGCTCCAGGGATTGGGTTAGCCACCTTGCTTGCCTGCCCATCTTCCCATGTGTCCTTCTTGGCTCCTCATTGTCCTTTGCTTGTTTTCTGCCATCCTATCTCTCTGTCTCTGCATTTCCTATTTTTCTGCCCAGTGCTGAAGATTCCTTGCCCTCAGCCTCTTTCTCCTGTCCCCTGGGTTTGCAGGTCTCAACCCCTGGAGTGCACCACCCAGGCCTGAACCTGACCATCCAGGACCTGTGCAGGGCAGGAGAGGGAGCGTGGTGGGCACGAGGATGGAGTGGGGCTCCTAGCTGGCCTATGCTTTTCAGATGTCAAGGTTGGTGACATAGTGGTGATGTGATGTGGAGTCCAGGTTGGGGCTTGTATGGCCCCAAAGGTTCCTCTCAGTGGGGGTTCCCTTGTCTGCTGGATTCTTTTTTTTTTTCTCCAGTGCTAGACAGGCATGCTACTCCTCAGCTACACCCCACCCAGCTAGGTCCTCCCTGATGCCTGGTCTTTGGAGGAATTCTCGATGGCACAGTTGAGGGCCTGGCACTGCAGCACCCAGGAATTAGACATAGCTCAGCTCCCAGGTGCCACTGTGTGTCCATGGAGGTCGCACGGCCTTCTGAGCTCTCCAGAGCCTTTCTGTAACTACAACTGTCCCTAAGTGACACAAACATCAACTTTGAAATGAACTCATGACCCGTGAGCATGGACCCTGTTATGGCCTTCCCCGGCCATGGGCCTGCCTGGCCTGGAACTTGTGCTTGTCCCACAACCCCCAGGGCATCGTACCCAGGGCATCGTGACTCAGCGACTGCAGAGGGGGGTGGGGAATCTGGGCAGGGGAGGCCTGTGCTTCCTGACAGAGCCCATAGCTGCCCTGAAGAGAGGTAGGGAAGGCTGTCCCTATCTGCCAGCAGAGTCCAGCCTCTGATGGACTCTGACACAAAGATTGTCACCTTCCCTCTTTGCTCCCCGTTGAAGTTCCACGTGCCTTTCCTTGCTTGTCCTTTAGCCACGGGGTCTCCTTTGAAGGTTGGTTGCTTTCCATCTCTTCCTTTGTGACATCTCTCCCAGATGGGGACGCGACTCCCTGAGGGTATCTGTCCTACTCTCTCCCCTCCTCCAGCCAGGGAGAGATGGCAGTCAGGGACAGGAAGCTAGCGAATTATTAGGGGCTTCTTATTATTAGCTTCTTATCTTTTTAAAATCATATTTTATTTTTTTGCTCGACACACCATTGAACATATCTGTGGGGTACAATGCGATGTATATGTCTTGTAACAGTCAATTCATGCAAGGAGCCAATCCTGCACATGTAATATTTGTCATTGCTTAGTGGTGAAAGCACTCCGGATCCTTTCTTCTAGCTATTGGGAAACGCACACTGAATTATTATTAACTATAGTCACCTTACTGTGAAAAAAAAAAGGCAGAGCTGAGTCCTCCTATCTAACTGTAACCTTGCACAGGTCGGCCAATCTCTCCCCCGCTCTATCCCTCAGTCTCTGATACTTGGCTCTCTCCCTGGTTTATTGGCATACTGTTGACAAGATCCAAGATACGGAATTCTCTTAAGTGTCCATTAACAGATGAATGGCTGAAGAAAATATCACACACACACACACACACACACACACACACACACACACACACTGGAATACTAGTCAGTCTTAGAAAGCCAGAGGAAATCCTGCTAGTTTGTACGTGTGCATTGAGCCCTAGGCACAGAAAAACAAAAGCCATGTGACTGCGCACGCGCTGAATTGAAACACTTGCTCTCAGGAAGGGGGTGGGGACAGCAGGAGCGGCTGGTGGGAGGGGCTAACGGGAAACATCAGACTTCACCTTGGTGATAACAGGGCCTGTGCGGTAGGCACTTTTCCTTTATTGGTTTAATAAATGACTGCTATTCTCCTGTCCAAGGTAGATGTTTTTATCTGCACGTGTCAGACAAGAGGAAAAGAGAGTGAAAGGGGTCATGTAGGTAACGTGGGGTCAGCAGGGCCTCGAGTTGCTGTCCTGGGTCCAGAAAGCCTCCTCTGCCCTTTAAGTGGGGGACCCAGGTCCCTCTGGAGCAGCTGCTGTGAATCTGGTGCGCCAGGAGCTGAGGAGACAGCAGAGGACAGGGGGGCGAAACCCCGTGTCCCCAGCATTTTCATTCTCCTGGTCATCTCCTTGGATGGATTTCCTAAGGGCCCAGGATGGCACACGACCCCAAAGCCCCACTCTTCTTGCAAAGGGCAGTATCCCTCGGTAGCTCTGCGAGTGCAGGGGTGGGGGTGAGAGTGGGGTGGAAAAGGCAGTGGTTAGGGTGCCAGATGCTACCTGGTGCCTACTGGGATTCCTATTGTCTTAACTCTCAGGAAGGGCTGCATTAGGTCAGCAGGCCCCAACCCCTATCCACAGAAAATAGAACCTGCTTTTTGTCAAGCCTCCTAGGGGACTCCTGCTTACTTTGCAGTTAGAGAAGCTCTGGCTAAGGTTCCCTCCTTTGCCGCCTATTATTTGAATAGACTGGGAAACGTCAGACCCCCGCTCACCAGCAGGGGGCGCTGTAGGGAGGTGTCCAGGTGCCTCGTCGTCCCCTTGCCGTCTCCACCCTGCCGTCTGCCTTCGTCCCTTACAGCTCCACGCAGATAAATTCACTGCCTTCTGAGATCCTTGGCTACTCCCCTACCAGCTGGACTTAGCCAGCAGACAGGGACATTCAAGTCCACCCTTGTTCCCCTGTTTAGAGCGGCAGGGAGGAAGGGTTCTGTCGGGAAGCACCAGGCCCCTCCTACCCGGAGTCCCCGCCCACCGCCACCTGCTGGCTGGCCTGGCCCCTGGGCCTGGACGACCTGCATCTGCCAGAAGGAGCTGTGGGTCCTGCACAAGCCCGGGGGCCCTGGGAGCTTCAGACAGAAGGTGAGCTACAGCGGGATCACCGTGTGGAAACCCCATGTGGAAGGAAGGGAGGGGGGACCTCACAGCTGATGGGTACGTGGGCCAGGGGGTGCTGTGGTGTGCACAAGCATGCTGGTGTGAAAGTGCTGCGACTCGGTGTGGACGCATCCTTCCCAAGGCTCTCTGAGCCCTGCAGTGATCCCCGGAGATCCACCAGCTATTGGGGACACCCAGGAGAACCCGAGGTGGGGGAGGGTGAGAGCTTAAAGCGGTGAGCAGGACTTTGCAGCAGGACTAGATTTTTCCCCTGGAGAAGGCGCTGCCCAGGGACAGCCGGCGGTGGCCTTCTGAAGGGCTTCTTTTGGGGAAGAGGTACCCAGGATGACCTGGGGAATGGGCAAGCCGAGCAGTGGATGGAGTGGGGAGGCCCACTACTCACAGCAGGGGCTGCCTTGCTGTGGGTTCCGCTTAGCAGCTAACACCCCTTCCTCTCCTGGACTGGGGAGGACCGAATGAGTGTGCAGGAAGCCTCCTAGAGGAGCTGGCACCTGGCCCGCAGGCTGAGCCAAGGGCGGAGTTAACCTGCTCAGGGCAGGTAAATGAATGGGCTGCCTGCAGAGGCCCTGGGCCCCAGGAGGCTGGGCGAGGGGCCCGGCTGCACCGCCTGAGAGTGGAGAGGGCTTGGACTCTGGTCTTTGGAGGCCCCAGGAATGTTACTGGTATAGAAGCAGAACGGGTTTCCTCCTTTCTTTCCCGTTTGCTGCCCATGCCCTGCCACTGGGGCTTGATGGGCAGGACATGTGGGGTATCAGTCGCCGTGGAACTGAGGCAGTGCCTTCAGTTCCTTGTTTGGTTTCCTGTTCATTCAACTTCATTTCTCTTAAAGGAGGAATTGTGGAGAGGAAGAAGTGGGGCGAATCGGGGGGCATCTGGAAGTCCTCCCTGGCCCCTTGTTCCTCCTGCCTGCAGTGTTTGCTCCATCTTCCCCTCCGTCCTCACAGAGGACGGACGGCTCCTTGTGGTCCTCTGTGAAGTGGAGATTTAAGCGGCCCCAAGTAGGAGGGGAAAAACCACCCAGCAGCGCGAGGGCTACTGCTGGTGCTGTGTGAGCCACAGTTGCTGCTAATGTGCAGAAACCAAAAGGAACGGCCAGGACATCGGGAGAAGCTTTGCTGCTCCCGTGCAACCTGCGCCCGGGTCGGAGCACTGCCAACCACCTGCTTCACCCACTGTATGCCCTGCAGGGGGCCTGGTCGGAGAAGACAGGGGCACGGGCTGCAGGGCTGGATTTTAAGGCAAAAGGAACAACACTAGACCTCTGCTTCCTGTGCACATCTCCAGCAAGCACACAGGAGAAACGGGTCCTGCGCCGGCGCTCGATCCTGAGGCTATAAAGAGCTTCTGCTCGCATCTGGCAGGAGCTAGGGAGAGGGTGAGGGAGGAAGGAAGGTGGGCAGAGCGTCAGCTCTGGGTTGCCGGGTGAGAGAAGGCAGCAGCGGGGAAGGATGCGGGAACTCGTCCCATGCAGCCTCTGGCGAGTCCATTCCCGGAGTCTTGAAGGAGGAAAACGTCTGCGAACCCAGCCGCCAGCTCAGCCGGGGAATTCCCTCAGCAGCTCCGGGAGAGCTGAGGAAGGCGTCGGCCGTGGCGGGCCCGAGCTTCTCGCCGTGTCTGATACACGGCTGGGGCCCGCAGGCTGTGCACAGGGGCGCGGGCGCCGGCTGAGCGGCCGCGAGGGAGCCGGCCGGCTGCTGCGCTGCACCGGTGGGGCCCGGGCAGGGATGGCCCAGCTGAGGAGGCGGAAAGCGGCGGCAGAGGAGAAAGCCAAGGCTGGTGCAC